GAGTGAAAAAATAAATTATTGAAGAACAGTCTAAGGCCCCCTCTTAAACTGAGTAGTCAAGGAGGCAAAACACATCCCTTGAAAGTTAATGCTAAATACTGACATACTTTTCTCTGATATTTATCTGTTGATTGAAGCAAAAAATGCAGATTAAGAGGACTGACAAGTTTTGAAGTTTTTTGTATTTTTAACCACCTTTTGATGAAGTGTGTGATTTAAAATTTTCAGGGGGAAAGTTTAATATTTATTTTTAAAAAACTTAAAAAGTTTAATTACTTTGTTTAGTAAATATTTTTGCTTGCAATTGACATCTGTTGCAATTGACATCTTAGAATATATTGTGTAAAGAATGGTTATTAATGGCTTAAGATTTCACTTTAAAAATTTTAGTTCAAATAAGCTTTAAAATCACCTTACGTTATCCTACATGGTTACAATAATAAGAAGTATGTTGTTTGATCTTCCCTTTAGCCAATGAATACATATTAGAATAGTCCAGTCCAACTTATGCCTTGTGTAAAAGGGCACAGATTCAGTTTATTTCAGATGGTATGCATTTAAAGTCAGGTAAAAGACCAAATGAGAGAAAATGTAAAAGTTTTCTACTATCTTTGAGAAATACATTGGTAAGAATAAGTAATGACTATTTTAAGGTGGAATTGGGGGAAATGTAGTCTGACCATATGTTTATATGTGCAAACAAGTCATGTAGTACTTCTGCCTTAGCACAAAAACCCAAAAAGTAATGTGACGCTGATTTTTCAGCTTTTATTCTGTTTATAGAGAAATGACAAAGCAGTTGCAGACCGACTGCCCCCAACTCTACACAATGTCTGAAGGTTTCTGTATCCCAGAATGTTTCTGTATCTTATAAAATATTTTATTAAACTATTTCACAACTTTGTCTTAGCCTTTCTCAGAGTATTTTTTTTTTATTTCCAAATCAGTTCACTAAAGAAGAGGGCTAATTTTTGCTTAGATGGAAAATATTGTAATTTCTTGTGATTTCTATTGATAAATTCAGTTCTCTACTTGATTAAATATTGTGTTTTGGTAATGTGATAAAACTCATTTTGTAAGAATGAAACAAACAAATTTACTCTGCCTTTGTTAAAGATCTCCATATTGCATAATCTTTAAGTATTTCCCCTGATTTTATTTGTTATTTTTTTTTTCAAGTGTTTTATTGCACTGTTTCTAAGATGGACTGAATATGGAGGAATTTTGTATAGTAAAATTATATTCTTCTATGCCACCTTGCAAAGCTGAATTCAAAATTTAAAGTGCCAAATGTAAATGTAAATCTATTTTTTTTATCACCTTTGAGGTTTTTTTTGTATACTGTGAATAGTTCCAGTGACATCAACACATGGATTAACAGTCATGTAATTTTTAGGGTGAGTTACATAGTCTCAGCTAGTTATCTAGGCCTTTCTAGATTCAAAAAAAGACAAGCCACTAGTGGGTAGTCTGTCTTGAAGCCAGTGGAAGGCTAGACAGTTCAGTCTAGTTAACTTTGAATTGGTGAGAGCTAGACAAGAGAAACAATGTCAAACAATTTGAATATTTTTTTTCCTCCCCTAGAATTATTACCTAATATACTTCAACAGATTAGATGGATGTGGGATCTGTCTTTCACTAATTACAGGACAGTTCTTACAGTGTGTGAGAACTTTAAAGCATAAGATACTCTTACTCAGAAAAGCTGGTGGTTGAAATACTTTGAAAAATTAAACATCCCAAAGAATCTACTGGAAGGAATATTCTGAGCACTCTTTTTGCAGGACTATACATGAGGAAGTATAAAAAAGAGAATGTATGGAGGCAAATAATATTTTTCATGATAATTAGAGTTTTGTTGTCTTACACATAAAAGGTAAACATTTTTGAGGATAGAGTTACTGATTTTTTTCTGCTATTTTTCCTGGTTTTGTAGCTGAATATGAACTCTGCTCCGACTTTCATGCATTTTCCTCCAAAAGGGAAACCCAAGAGAGCTGACACATTTGACCTGCAGAGAATCGGATTTGCAGCTGAGCAGCTAGCTAAATGGATAGCTGACAGAACAGATGTTCATGTAAGTCTTTCGACAATTTTAAAAGTTGAAGCCAAATGTATCTTTGTAGTCTGAGACAGGCTGATGACAAATTCCATCTTTCCTTAATACCTTTTTCCCCTCAAGTGTAGGTTCTAGAACACATTAAAAAAAAAAAAAAAAAAAAAGAAGAAGGAAACATAGTCATGGTACTTACAGTTCTTGCTTTGTTAAGTTTTTTTTAGTCTTATTCTGGATGAAAACAAGTACTGATACTGCGATAATTAGTTGGTAATAAGTAAAATGTGCTTTGCAAAACCATATACAAAATAGATAAATCCAGAGGTCCTAATTCAGACACAGCCTGCAAATCTGTTTTAAAAAATAATGTTTTGGAGTTGAGCAGTTCAAAATAATGCTTAAAATTATTTTTGTATTATGTGCTCTTTAAAGGAAGTGGTATTTTCTCTTATTTAAGTATACCTTTGGAGATTGTTCTTTATGACTCTGAAACCAGATTCCAGATGCTCTCTATTTGTTTGTATGGAAGATGATCTATATGTATGCATTTATTTGCAATCTGTTATTTGCATTTATCTTTTCCAGATAAGAGTGTTCAGGCCTCCTAACTATTCTGGTACAATTGCACTGGCTCTCCTGGTATCTCTTGTCGGTGGCTTGTTATATCTGCGAAGAAATAACTTAGAGTTCATCTACAACAAAACTGGCTGGGCTATGGCAGCTCTGGTATGCAGGTTTTCCTTACTAATATGTGTTTTTTCAATTTCTTAACATATGCATCTTCATTACTTGCACAGGAAATTAAAAACCATTGCATTAATACATTGTTCAGAATGGTACTATCAGACAAAGATTCGTAATCTAGATTTTGGGCCTAATTCTTGTAAGCAGAGAATATCAGTTACTACAAGTGATTCACTGAAAATTAGCAAGTCCTGTGATAGTTAGCTGCAGATTTTTGTTTGAACTTTAACATACATAAGCCAAGCTTTTCTTCTTTTTCCATGTAAATGGTTATTTATTCACTTCATAATTTTAAAGACTTTTTCTTAACTTGTGTCAATATGAATGAGCCTTTCTTGAAAGCACAAGGCTAGGATTGTAGCTGGAATATGAGTTTGCTTGTTTAGCAACATTCGTATTTTATTTCTCATCTGGGCTACCTTTCCAATAAAAGCTTGGACCAGATGGTCTTTTGAGGTCCCTTCCAACCTGGGCTATTCTATGATTCTATGTATTTAGCTCTGCTTAGAAGTAGGTTACTGATAGATCCTATAATTGGTTTTGCCTTTTCAAAGCCTCATCATATTGATGGCTTGCTATTCTGCTCTAATTCAACAATGTGAGAAGATACCTTCTTTTGCGACACTTTCAGCTTATGGGCCCATTGGCAGCCTTTATTACATCAGTTCAAAGATGAAATTACCTAGTACCTGTTGGGCTCTAATTCATTTTTATATCTAAATGATTAACAAGATCTTAAAGCAAGCTCTTTGTTCAGAGCTCCTTAATATTTGGCAAAACAGACTCAACTTGGGGAAGAAAAATCAATTTAGATTGTTACCAATCATCCCAGTAGCACAGTGAGACATAACCACCACATTTTACAACACCACCTCCCCACCCCTCCCTTCTTCCCGGGCTCAAATCACTTTGCTCCCAATTTCTCTACCTTCTCCCCTGCCGTGCAGCACAGGGGGCAGGGAATTGGGGTTGCAGTCAGTTCACCTCTGCCGCTCTTCTCGGCATGAAAGTCCAGGAACAAGATGTTCCAAAGCTTCCCATGGAGTAACGGACCCCTTTGGGCTCAGCTCCCAGCTCCGGCATGGAAACATCCATTGGCTGCAGACAGGCCTCTGGTCCAGTGCACCTCCTCACCCCCCGTGGCTCTGGGGGTCCACTCCCACTCTGGCATTGCGTGTCTCTCAAGGTCTCAATTTCAACACATTTCCCCTCAGGCTCAGCTTTTTTGCTACAGTGTGAAGTCTTCCATGGCCTACATGTGGTGTATCTGCTCCACTATTGAACTTCCATGGGCTGCAGGGACCTCCTTTACCTTCTCCTACTCCATGCAGTTGAACTGGGTATATGAGGTT